TTATGATATGTTTATGAGAACTGCATGCTAGATTAGGACTAAGGATCTATAAAGGATGCCTTATGTGTCTGTTATATGTGTATCAGCTTTATGAACTGCATGCTAGTACAGATTAGTCAGTGATATGATGGCCTGATTAGGATATGCTTGATTATGTTTACTCAATGCTTGAATGTTGCTTGCTTTGTGCTTTTATGAGTCTTAGTTATCTTTTACTAACTAGTAAACAAATATGTTAAGTTACATATTGCAAGGACTAAATAATTTCAGAAGGTTAGGTCTAACTCTATTTCGCAGCTCTTGTTTGAGTCCAACCGTTGTAGGGTAGGATCTCTCATTCGAAGAATTATCTAGTCTTAGTGATATGTAATGGTATTCGCGAGCTAGTTAGGGGGAGATAACAGAGACTTCTTATGCAGCTGATAGCGGAGAGTGGATTGGTGATTACCCTAGGGCAAGCTTAGGATTATATTAGCGTGAGAACAACAATAATAATAGAAGGGACTTGGTGGAGTCAAGGCAATTCTTGAGGAAAGTACGGATAGATGTGGAAGGTAGTGAAAAGGCTTTATGCAAACAATCCTATGTGTGCATACAACCCTAATTGGATCTATGTTTTCACTATAAGACATACAACTATATGAACACAAAATAAACCCTGGCATGCTTCTATTATTTTCGAAAATCATATAGAAGTGTAGTAGACATACCTTTGTTGTTATATTGCAATAACAACTAGTTTCCTTGATCTCTTGAACTCTTGAAAGCAAGCACCACAATTGTAGTGCCTCTAATGGCTCACAAACACCTTGAAGCAAGAAGGCAATTAAGAGAGAGAGGGGAAGAATGCTAATTTCGGCCCTAGGGTTTCCCTTGGAATCAAGTGGCCTAAAATTGAAGCATAGGGCATCTATTTATACTGTAGGGTGCTAGGGTTTCAGTCTAAACCCTAATGGATAGCTTAGCCACCAAGCAGCCCAAGGAACCTTCTGGAATGAGGCCCTTGGACGAAAATATGATGATCCCTCATCATAATTTCGTTCCCCCTTAGTCCATTAGGTTTCCCAGCCCAAAACTCAACTATCACACATTTGACAGTTTATACCCCTTTATTTAATTAATCTCTTTTAGTCACCAAATTAATTCCTAATTAATTTATGACTAATACTAATTAAATAAATATGATTTCTCCTTTAATATATTATTCTTATAATATATTAATAAACCATAATATCTTCTCTCTCATATCAAATTACCTTGTCAAGTTGCTTTGGTGAAGGCAACCCAAAAGGACCATGCACACTCGGGTCAAGTACATACCAAATATAGTTACGGACTTAGACACTAATCCAACAGTCTCCCACTTGGATAAGTCTAGTAACTACATCTCACATATGACTTCCGTATCCGATTAGCAATCGTAGCTTTCAATAGCCGCTGTCAACTCTGACCAATAATCTGTCCTTCAGATAAGGGATCGTATAATCCTCTGTTCTAGATATCATGCTAACAATACTTATTGTTTAGCATTTTATTTCTTGATCTCTGATTTGTTCGACATAGAACTCAGTTGAACACATCAACTTCATCCTGACCGGGCCCGGCACATAAGTCAAACCAAATCATCAAGTGGCCAAGATATCGCTTTTATTCTCATAGAATAAAAGGAACAGAAAAACGTCGACTAATATGCCTTTATCATTTACTAGTTAAACCACACACAATAATGCGTTTTATAACATCAAGTTACTGATGCGTTTTCGCATTATCAATGTATAATCAACTAGCAAACAATAACCATATCTCTAGGTTTAAAGATTATATGATATTATCATCTTGCGATCACTTGTGATAACATTCATGAAGTGATACCAGCAAGTGTGGGTCTATTCCAATGCTCAATACAAATTTCATAAGCACTCATAAACTTTGCAGCAAACCTTTGCTATGTCTAAAACTTTTCAGACAATCTACAAACAAATTTATGACAATCTTCCTTCATATCTACTTCCAACATATGAACGATTGTGGACTGTTCGAATAATCTTATTATTCAGGAAGTCAAAACATGCAAAATTGAAACAATAGATAAATAATCAACACAAGATAGAAGCTTTCTTATAAATAACACACCTTTATTTAATCATCAAATGTTGAATACATGATCATCCATTACAAGTTTCCTACCTATCTAATCTAAACTAATATCGTCCTTCAGCCCTACGCTCCTAGCGTGCTGCAAATGCTTAACCCTACTCAGTCCCTTCGTGAGGGGATCTGCTGGGTTATCTTCTGACGATACCCTCTTCACAACGAGGAGTCCCTCTTCTACTCGATGTCTAATAAAATGGTATTTCCTGTCGATATGACGAGATCTGCCATGATCCCTTGGTTCCTTGGTTAAGGCAACCGCTCCTTCATTATCACAGAAAATTTCCATGGGCTCTTTTATGGATGGCACAACTCCAAGGTCTCCAATGAAGTTCTTCAACCATATAGCCTCCTTTGACGCCTCGCTCGCCGCAATGTACTCTGATTCGCACGTTGAATCAGCTACGGTTTCTTGCTTGGAACTTTTCCAAGTCACTGCTCCTCCATTCAGGGTAAAGACCCAGCCCGACTGCGATCGGTAATTATCCCGATCTGTCTGGAAACTAGCGTCACTGTACCCTCGCACCCTTAAGTCATCACTCCCACCCAGGACTAGAAACCATTCCTTAGTCCTTCGTAGGTACTTAAGAATATTCTTGACAGCAATCCAATGTGCCCTACCAGGATTCCCTTGATATCTGCTGACCATGCTCAAAGCGAAAGCCACATCAGGGCGAGTACAGGTCATAGCGTACATAATTGAGCCAACTGCGGAAGCGTAAGGTACTCGGCTCATATCAGCTATTTCTGCCTCTGTACTCGGGCTCTGAGTCTTACTCAGTTTGGTATTGCATTGGATTGGTAACTCCCCTTTCTTGGAATTTTCCATACTAAAACGTTTTAGTACCCTTTCCAAGTATGTATCCTGACTGAGTCCTATCAGTCTCTTACTTCTGTCTCTCACTATCCTTATTCCCAGAATATATGCAGCCTCTCCGAGGTCCTTCATAGCGAAACACTTCCCAAGCCAGGACTTGACCTCCTGCAATGTTGGGATGTCGTTTCCTATGAGTAGTATGTCATCGACATACAATACGAGGAAGCTCACTATACTCCCACTGGCCTTGACATATACACATGACTCATCTTCATTTCGCAGAAAGCCAAACTCTTTGACCTTCTCGTCAAAACAAAGATTCCATCTGCGAGACGCTTGCTTTAATCCATAAATGGATTTCTCAAGCTTGCACACTCTATTTGGATGCTTTGCATCGACAAAACCCTCTGGCTGATTCATGTAAACATCCTCAGCCAACTTCCCATTTAGGAAAGCGGTTTTTACGTCCATCTGCCAAATTTCATAATCATGAAACGCAGCTATCGCAAGCATTACCCTAATAGACTTTATTTTCGCAACTGGTGAGAAGGTCTCATCATAGTCAACTCCAGGAGTTTGAGTAAAGCCCTTCGCGACCAATCGCGCTTTATAAGTGTGCACTTTCCCATCCATGTCTGTCTTCTTCTTGAAGATCCACTTGCACCCGACCGTCTTACGACCTGGCACATTGTCAACCAAATTCCAAACTTGGTTGTCATACATGGACTGAATCTCGCTATCCATTGCCTCTTTCCATTTAACAGACTCTGGGCCTGCCATGGCTTCCTTGTAGCTGTTAGGTTCGTCCAGATTTACTAGTGTACTATCACTAATAAACGTATCCCCGTCAGTAGTAATATGGAAACCATAAAACTGGGGTGGAACAACAACTCTACTTGAACGTCTAAGAGGTAAGGACTGGTCAATAGGTTCAACAGGAGTTTCCTCCTCAGGTTGCATGCCAGTGTCAGAGGTTCCTTCTTCTCCTGACTCTTGAAGCTCTTCAAGGTCAATCTGACTCCCACTGTCTCCTTGGCTTATGAGTTCTCTTTCTCTGAAAACCCCTCTCCTAGCAACAAAGACAACATTGTCATTTGGTCTATAGAAGAGATAACCAAAAGACTTCTGTGGATAGCCGATGAAATAACACTTCTCACTACGAGGTTCTAGCTTGTCGTGAGTCTCTCGTCTTACGAAAGCTTCACAACCCCAAACCTTGATATGTGCTAACGAGGGAGCTTTCCCTGTCCACATCTCGTGAGGCGTTTTGGTAACCTTCTTGGTGGGAACTAAGTTAAGGATATGGGCGGCAGTCTCCAAGGCATACCCCCAGAATGAGATTGGTAACGAAGCACGACTCATCATAGAGCGAACCATGTCCAACAAGGTTCGATTACGTCTCTCAGCCACACCATTCAATTGTGGCGTTCTAGGAGGCGTCAATTGTGAAACTATTCCACACTCTTTCAGATAGTCGTGAAACTCAAGACTTAGGTACTCTCCCCCTCGATCAGATCGAAGCATCTTGATTTTCCTGCCCAACTGATTCTCCACTTCATTCTTGAACTCTTTGAACTTTTCAAAAGTTTCTGACTTTTGCTTGATTAAGTAGATATATCCATATCTGCTATAATCGTCTGTAAAAGTCACGTAGAAGCGACAAGCGTCCCTTGTGGTGGATCTAAAGGGTCCACATACATCTGTGTGTATGAGATCCAATACACCCTCACCCCTTTCACATGTGCCAGTAAAGGGTGACTTGGTCATCTTCCCAAGTAAACAAGACTCACACACGTCATCGTCCCTAAGGTCGAAAGACTCCAAGACTCCATCCTTTTGGAGTTGGGCTATGCGTTTCTTGTTCACATGGCCAAGGCGACAATGCCACAAGCATGCTTTGTCCAAACTTGTGGACGAATCAATATTCAAAACATCATTTCCTAAATTATCAATAACTAACACAGATTCATAAATCCCATTACAAGGTAATGCATTGAAATAAAAGACACCATTCAAATAAGCATTAATAGAACCATTACTATTATCAAATGAATATCTGAAACCTTGTCTAAACAAACCATGAAAAGAAATGATGTTTCTTGCCATATCTGGCGAATAGCAACAATTATTTAAATCTAGCCCTAACCCATTACTCAACACTAAGGAATAAACTCCGATCTTGGTTACTGGTGAAGACTTCTTGTTTCCCATGATCAAGCTTATCCTTCCATGCTCCACTTCCCTACTTCTTTTTAGGCCCTGCATATCAGAACAAATGTGGTAACCACACCCTGTATCAAGAACCCATGAAGTAGCAAATGATGAGTTATTAGATTTAATTAAATACATACCTGCGAAGGTGGGTTTTATCTTCCCATCCTTAATATCTTGCAGATATTTAGGGCAGCTTCGTTTCCAGTGGCCCTTCTGGTGGCAATAGAAGCACTCTGCTTCCTTGGGGTCAGAAGAGGGCTTAACAGAACCTGCTTTGGTCCCACTAGAAGAAGAACCATCTTGGGTCTTACCCTTATGGTGGCTCTTGTAAGGAGCCTTCCTCTTCTTTCCCTTTCCTTGGCCAATTGCCAACACAGGAGCAGCTACAGTAGAGGATGATGCAACAGATTTGTCCTTGAGGTTGCTCTCAGCTGTCCTCAGGAGCCCTTGAAGCTTACTTAGGGTGACCTCTTCCTTATTCATGTGGTAGGTCATTCTGAACTGGCTGTAGCAGGAAGGCAAGGAGTGGAGGATGATGTCGATAGCCAAATCCTCATCAAACTTAACATTAAGTTTGAGAAGACGATCAACATATCTTTGCATTCTTTGCAAATGAGCAGTTAGGGATTCTCCACTCCCCATCTTAGCGGTGATCATGTTGGTGATGATCTCATAGCGCTCTTGCCTCGCGCTCTGGTGGTACCTGTCCAGCAAATCTTGATGCATCTCATATGGATACATGTCCTCATAGGACTTTTGGAGTTCGAGGTTCATGGTGGCCAACATGATGCAATGAACTTTCGTTGCATCACGCTCGTGGGCCTCAAAGGCGGCCATCTCTTCAGGAGTAGCTTCTTCTGGGTTGATCCTTTCAAGCTTCTCGTCTAGGACATATTCTTTGTCCTCATAACGAGTTATCATGCGAATGTATCTCATCCACTCGTTGAAGTTCGAGCCATCAAATGTCACTTTTTGACACAGGTTCATCAACGAGAATGACCCAGAAGTGTTGTTGTTTGCGTTTGCGTTTGACATCTGAAATAGAAAGGAACAAAGTTTGATTAGAATGAATCCCTAATTAAACACCCACATGAGAAATTAGGGCTAGGATCCAACAACATTATTTACAACTTAGAAAAGGGATGCCGTAATCTAAAAGTAAATAATTTGAAGGTAAGTGAATGACGATTCACTAATTTTCACCATGAAAAACGAAAGAGGTTAAGTTTTAAATGTATTTGAAAATTCCTAGATTTCTTTTGAGATTCATTGAACATTTCAATGGCATGTTTAAATCTCGATATGCACTTCAAATTTGCGACTGGGATGCCGAGGATCGCAAACAAGTTTGTGAATAACCATGCGAATCATCATGGTGCACTCAATGTCTTCATCACCTAATCAATGTGCTGGTTAGCCACGCACGCTCCATTGATCTATGATAAGACATCGAGCCACCCTTTGTCACCAATGTCAATCCCAAATTAGTGTGCTGGTTAACCACGCACGCTCCACTAACGTTTGACAGGGGTACAAAGTGTAATTCCATGGAATAGCATCATTTTCACATTTTACCCTAAAGTAACTAAGAGTGGGAATTTGTAAAACAATGTAGTTACTTTAATATTTCCATTATACTTATAATGAGGAATTAAGTGCCCTATCCTATCCGTTCGGCTAACGACCCTCCACCAGTCAAGCAAGCGGTAGATGTGAGTGTACATCCATTAAGCGCCATTTTATAGGCAGCAACCTTATACCCACCTTATAGACTGGCTTCGTGAATGAGGCCTACTAGCGATAAGACTAGCTTATTCTTATACATATATATAATAATTAATCTTATAATATCATAATTGTATAAGGGTGTATTTTAAAACATTTTAAAATACTAGTGTCTTTGTTGCATTTAAAATTTTCGAAAATTAGACAATTTAATTTAAAATTTTAAACACCAAAAATCTTTGATTTAATAATTATCAAAATTAAACAATTAATTTAAATTATTAAATCATGAAGGATTATCATAAAATTAAACAATTAATTTATCCTAATCCTTTTTATCCCCTAGATTTCGAAATTTATGGAAAGGATAATTCAAGATCTTCAATTATCTAGTTTAAACAATTAAGTTGATAATCACAAAGATGGCATTATCCAAATCCCTAAAATTTTGGGATCTTGTCTTGGGGGGCAAGGGATTTTCGAAATCCCTAGGGTTTCATAACCCTAATTTCGAAATTTGGAGGCTAGGCAAAAAGGGTTTAAGAACCCTACAAAAAATCGCCAACTAGGGTTTCTTAACCCTATTTTCGAAAAACACCAAGCCTTAGGGTTTACTTGCCATAAACCCTAATTTGTCAAATTCATAATATGTATCAAATCAAATTGAAAACAAAAACCAAAGGCTCTGATACCACTGATAGGTTTTATACAAACAATCCTATGTGTGCATACAACCCTAATTGGATCTATGTTTTCACTATAAGACATACAACTATATGAACACAAAATAAACCCTGGCATGCTTCTATTATTTTCGAAAATCATATAGAAGTGTAGTAGACATACCTTTGTTGTTATATTGCAATAACAACTAGTTTCCTTGATCTCTTGAACTCTTGAAAGCAAGCACCACAATTGTAGTGCCTCTAATGGCTCACAAACACCTTGAAGCAAGAAGGCAATTAAGAGAGAGAGGGGAAGGATGCTAATTTCGGCCCTAGGGTTTCCCTTGGAATCAAGTGGCCTAAAATTGAAGCATAGGGCATCTATTTATACTGTAGGGTGCTAGGGTTTCAGTCTAAACCCTAATGGATAGCTTAGCCACCAAGCAGCCCAAGGAACCTTCTGGAATGAGGCCCTTGGACGAAAATATGATGATCCCTCATCATAATTTCGTTCCCCCTTAGTCCATTAGGTTTCCCAGCCCAAAACTCAACTATCACACATTTGACAGTTTATACCCCTTTAATTTAATTAATCTCTTTTAGTCACCAAATTAATTCCTAATTAATTTATGACTAATACTAATTAAATAAATATGATTTCTCCTTTAATATATTATTCTTATAATATATTAATAAACCATAATATCTTCTCTCTCATATCAAATTACCTTGTCAAGTTGCTTTGGTGAAGGCAACCCAAAAGGACCATGCACACTCGGGTCAAGTACATACCAAATATAGTTACGGACTTAGACACTAATCCAACAGGTAGTATGGGCCCGTAATACTGAAAGCAGAGGATCCGTACTCGAATCAAGGAAGGCTAAGATGAACCCAGGAAACTTGTAGTATGCGAGATCCCTCGAGTTATGATGAGTGTACCAACGTTTGTTATGGTGTATTTTCAGAATGGTGACGCTACGCACTAGGCCAGTCGGCACTTCAGGCACTGGTGAGGGATCATGCTCGGGCTTTGGAGCCAGGCAGCTTGACGAGCAGACGAGAGAGTTCATCTCGTCTGATATCACATGCAACATTCTAGACCATACTCATGTGATATTTTGATCGGTCAAGGAGGGCATCTTGGAGATACTTGATGAGAGGTTGGGTGCCTTCCGCACCGAGATGGCGGCCATGCTAGGGGCACACACACTGACATTCAGGGAGTTCATGGATTGTGGAGCTCTCGATTACCATGGGGCTCGGGACCCTATTGCGAGTACCAGATGGTTGGCGGATGTCGCCAATGCATTCCGCACCAGCAGATGTCCCGAGGGAGACAAGGTTAGACGTGCGTCCTGTCTTTTGAAGGGCAAGGCACGTGACTGGTGGGAGAAGGTTGGGAGAGCCATTGGAGATGATGCAGTTCTAGACGCGATGACTTCGAGTGATTTCTCGGCCAGGTTCAGGGCCGATTTTGCACCTGTGATAGAGGTGCAACAACTTGCGAGGGAGTTCTAGGATCTCCAGCAGACTATGGAGACTGTGGTCGAGATCACCGCTATGTTCAGGCAGAGGGCCCTTCTCGTTCCGAAGTACGTGGTGGACGAGGAGATGAAAAAGGCCCGATATCATGAGATGGTGCGGAGTGATATCCGCCAGTTTGTGAGCCGCTCTAGCTGCAAGACGCTGGAGGACATGATTGCTAGGGCTCGAGAGAGATAGTTGGATTTGGAGATGGAGAAGAAGAGGAACCAGAGGAGGGTCAGTCAGGGAGTGCGGGTAAGAATCCTAAGGTATCAGATCACCAATCGAGGAGCCAACAAAGTCGCAGCCGTTGTGGCAAGTGCGGCAAGTTGTACGATGGGGCGTGCAGGGCGGGTAGTTTGGGCTGCTTTAAGTGCGGCCGAACTAGGCATGTGAGTAGGGATTGTATTGTTGCTCTACCACCACAATATTTGATCAGATTTGCTTCCAGTGCAATCAGAGGGGCCACAAGAGTACCCAGTGACCGAGTTTGGCAGCAGCAGGGAAGGTGACGGCACCCACTCCCGCTACATTGAGGATTACCGACAGTCGCCAGGGTCTGACGCATGCGCCAGTGGCGAAGAGCAGAGCCTTCCAGTTGACAGCAGAGGAGGCAAAAGCAGCTCTCGACGTGGTGACGGGTATGTATCTTCTCCTTATCTCTTTATTTGTATTGATTATTGCTTATGTTTATGTGTTTGTTATAGGATTGTTCTTAGTGAACGGTATATCAGCCTTGGTACTGTTTGATTCGGGTGCCACTCGATCTTTTGTGTTGCTTGCGCTTAGCAAGCGATTCACAGGGTCTCCTGGAGAGCTAGATATCCCGCTTGATGTGGAGATAGCATACGATAGGATCGTCAGGGTTGCGAGAGTTCACCGAGGATGTACACTACAGTTATTTGATGAGCAGTTTTCTGTGGATCTAGTCCCTATTCCTCTGCGAGGGAATAAGGTTATAGTGGGTATTAATTGGTTGAGCCCCAATGGGGCAATGATTGACTACGAGCAACAGCTAGTGAGGATTTGAACTCCTAGTGGGGGAGGGTTAGTGATTCAGGGCGAGAGGCCGTAGGGTGGATTGACTCTATGCTTCGCAGCGAGAGCGAGACGCTACCTTCAACAGGGTTGTGCAGGTTATGTCGCATATGTCATGGATACCCGGGATAAGGGTAAGGCGACAGTCGATGACGTACTGGTAGTGCGAGAGTACCCGGACGTATTCCCAGAGGATTTACCTGGGATACCTTCGGAGAGACAGGTTGAGTTCAGGATTGACCTGGTCCCTGGTGCGGCTCTGATAGCCAAGGCACCATATCGGTTGGCTCCTCCCGAGATTCAGGAGTTGTCTACGCAGCTGCAAGAGCTTCTAGACAAGGGATTTATCACCCCGAGTAGTTCGCCATGGGGAGCCCCGATCCTGTTTGTGAAGAAGAAGGACGGGTCACATCGGATGTGCATAAACTACCGGGAGCTGAATAAGGCAACAGTGAAGAACCGTTATCCGCTCTAGAGGATCGATGATCTGTTTGACCAACTACATGGTACATCTTGGTTCTCCAAGATTGATCTGCGATCGGGATATCACCAGATGCGAGTCAGTGATGAGGATGTGCAGAAGACAACTTTTAGGACTCGCTATGGTCACTATGAGTTTGTGGTGATGTCTTTTGGGCTCACCAATGCTCCAGTCGCGTTCATGGACCTCATGAACCGCGTATGCAGACCAATGTTGGATCGGTCTATGATAGTTCTCATTGATGATATCTTGGTCTATTCCAAGACTCAAGAGCAACATGAGGAGCATCTGAGGGAGGTGCTGGAGACACTGAGGAGGGAGAGACTTTTTGCAAAGTTCTCAAAGTGTGAGTTCTAGTTGCACAAGGTGCAGTTTCTGGGGCACCTTGTCAACCAGAAGGGTATTCTGGTCGACCCGGCCAAGATAGAGGTCGTGATACAGTGGGAGGTTCCGAGGTCTCCAACTGAGATTCAGAGTTTTCTTGATCTAGCGGGTTATTACCGGAGATTCATCCAAGATTTCTCCAAGATCGCTGTTCCTTTGACCTGACTGACCAAGAAGTCGGTGACATTCCACTGCGGGCCTGAGCAGCAGGCAGCCTTCGAGACTCTCAATCAGCGGTTGTGTGAGGCACCGATTCTGACTTTGCCGGAGGGCGTCAATGACTTCGTGGTTTACTGTGACGCTTCGATTATGGGCATGGGTGCGATACTGATGCAGCGGGGTCACGTGATAGCATACTCCTCGAGGCAGTTGAAGCCTCACGAGGCTAACTATCCGACACTTAATTTGGAGCTGGGGCTGTGGTTTTCGCACTCAATATTTGGCGGAATTACCTTTATGGGGTCCGTTGTACCATTTACATGGACCACAAGAGTTTGAGGTACCTCATGGATCAGTCGAATCTGAACATGAGGCAGTGTCGGTGGTTAGATGTGGTGAAGGACTACGACTGTGAGATCCTTTACCACCCGGGCAAGGCCAATGTGGTGGCCGATGCCCTTATCCACAAGGCGGTAGTGGCCCCGATTTGAGACATCTGTCTGAGGATGACAGTGATTACTCCCTTGTTGGAGCAGATCAGAGTGGCGCATGCCAAGGGCCTGAAGGAAGAGCGTTAGAAGTGCGAACGGATCGTAGGTCGGGTGGCCTCATTTGATTATGACAACCATGGGTTGCTGACCCTGCATGGGAGGGTCTGGGTTCCATACTGGGGCGGAGTACGACAAGTGCTGATGAATGAGGCCGATAAGTCGAGGTTCTCCATCCATCCTGGGGCGACGAAGATGTATAGGGATCTTCGCCCTGATTACTGGTGGCCCTGCATGAAGTGGGACGTAGCATGGTACGTGGAGCGGTGCTTGACCTGCATGAAGGTCAAGGCCGAACATCAGCGCCCCTACGGCAGGTTGCAGCCGTTGGACATTCTCGTGTGAAAATAGGAAGATATCATTATGGATTTCATTACGAAGCTTCCTAGGACCGCAAGTGGAGTAGATTCGATATGGGTCATCGTGGATCGGTTGACCAAGAGTGCTCATTTTATCCCGATCCAGGAGAGCATATCGGCCAAGAAGCTGGCCGAGATATACGTGCATGAGATAGTGGCACGACATGGAGTTCCTATCTCGGTGGTGTCAGATCGAAATGTCTGTTTCACTTCCAGATTTTGGAAGCGGTTTCACGACGAGATGTGTACTCTTCTCCACTTCAGCACCTCTTTCCACCCTCAGACAGATGGACAGAGCGAGAGGAAGATACAGACTCTCGAGGACATGCTACACACATGTGTTTTGGATTTCGGTGGAAGTTGGGATACGTATCTTCCGTTAGTGGAATTTTCGTATAACAACAGTTACCATGCCAGCATAGACCGACCTCCATTCGAGATGCTCTACGGGAGGAAGTATAGGACCCCAATATATTGGGACGAGGTCAATCAGAGAGTCATGGGGAGTATTAAGGTAGTGCTCAAGACTATATAGGAGATCCAGTAGGTCCGGAGCAGGCTCCAAACTGCTCATAGTCGGCAGAAGAGCTACGCCGACAAGCGGCGTTCAAACTTGGAGTTTCAGGTGGGCGATATGGTCCTCCTGAAGGTGTCACCTTGGAAAGGTGTCATCCAGTTCCGGAAGCGGGGCAAGTTGGGCCCCAAGTACATTGGTCCTTTCAGGGTTATATCCCGGGTGGGCAAGGTGGCGTACCGATTGGATCTTCCAGCAGAGCTCATCCAGATCCGCAACACTTTTCATGTTTCTCAGTTACGAAAGTGCCTAGTGGATGATCCAGCGAGTGTGCCCTTAGAGGATATTCAGGTTGACGACAGCCTGAACTACATTGAGAGGCCGGTGGTTATTCTGGATCGCAAGACGAAAACCTTGAGGAACATTGTTGTTCAGCTAGTGAAGGTGTAGTGGTAACACCGCAAGGGTTCTGAGTGGACTTGGGAACCCAAGGAGGAGATGAGGGAGCACTACCCAGAGTTGTTTCCAGACGCAGTAGACTTAGAAGACAAAGTCTAAGACAAGAGGGGGAGAATTGTAATGCCTGGGTTCTGGTACGCTTTTATTCATAAATTATTCATTTTTTTAGAGCTACTCGACGGGTTGGAAGCCCTAGACTCGTCGAGTAGAAACGAGTTTTGGACGCGGGTTTTAAGCTATCTACTCGACGAGTCGAGAGCCCTCGACTCGTCGAGTAGGTCTACCTGAAGGAAACCCTAATGTCAGGGTTTTGCACCTTATTTAAGCATCTTAATCCCCACCTTTTGGCCTCATTTCCGGCCTCCAAGTCCTAAACCCTAATCCACGAAACCCTAAAGCATTTTGTGAGTGTGTGAGCCATTCTTGAGTAACTTTTGTGTGTTCTTGAAACTTGAAGAAGAAGACGGAGCTAGAGGGTTCAATGAGAAGATAGTAGATCCAAAGACTTCCTTCCATCCTCTTCATTTTCTGGTAATCAAGTTTCTAGCTTAGCTATTAGTTCATTAGATCTTCTTACTTCCATTTTTGAGGGTTTTGGTTCAAGAATCTTGATCTTTTTAGGATTTGGATGTCCCAAGTGGCTTACCTTTCAGATCTGGGATCTAGAAGGGATTCCATGGCATAAAGGTGCAAACTTTAAGACCATGGAAGCCCCATGCAAGCCTAAAGACGTTGTTATGGCCTTTTAAGCCCCAAGAGGCCATGCATTGAAGTAAAGTCCGAGACTTTACGTATTCAAGTGGTATCTAAGGCCTAGATCTGTATTATAATGGTTTAGTTTGGAGTATTACGGATTTTGGACCAAGATCTATGTTCTAAAGAGCTAGGGTTTGAGTTTAACTCTTTGGGAAAGACTAATAGTGGGTAAAGTTGGAAACTTTACCCTTAAGAAGGCATTTCCAGTATGTAGATAGAGTATGGAGTTGGGATCTGAAGAGTAGGGGCTAAATCCTTTAAGTTGACCCAAACAGACTAAGGAACTCGGCTAGTCCATATAGGGACTCGACGAGTTAATGACATTATGTCCCTATTTTGTACAATGTAGAACTCGACGAGTTGGATCGCGATTTTAGGATTTCTGGATTATTGGACTCGGCGAGTCAGGGGGATGACTCGACGAGTTGAGTCAACTCAGATGGTTGACTTTGACTTTGACCAAACTGTTGACTTTGACCAGGGGTAAAATGGTCATTTTACCATAAGGAGGATTATTAGGTTTTGACTAAGTGTTATTGTGATATTAATAGCCGGGGAGTCGTTGGAGCATCCATCAGAGATTCCTCGCTCAATTTTTCAGCAGTCAGCTTTGCGAGGTGAGTCCTCTTCCAGTAGGAACGAGTCTAAGGCACCAAGGTCGGCCCGTTTATGTATGTTAACAATGTCGGGCTTAGCGCGATGTAGTTATATGTTTCCGGATTTCGGTCTGATGCCGGGGCAAGCCCGAAGAATTTTTGTATGCTTGATGTCTTCGTGATTCTTGCATGTGTTTGTATATGTGTTCCGGACTTCAGTCCGATGCCGGGGCAAGCCCGAGGAATGTTTAGCTTATATATGTTATGTTTATGTGTACCGGGCTTCGGTCCATTGTCGGGGAAAGCCCGATGAATGTTTCTATGTTTATGTTATGTGTTTATGTTATATGCTTGTTGATTTGATATATGTATACCAGACTTAGGTCTGATGCTGGGCGGGTCCCGATGCCGAACTTCGATCTGATGCCGGGCGGGGCCTAATACCGGTGGGGTCGATGTCGGACTTCGGTCCCATGCCGGGCAGGGCCCGATGTAGCGGGCAAGGCCCAATGTATGTTATTATGTGATTATGTGTATGGTATGAGGCAGTTTGGGGAGACTCGTTAAGCTTCGTGCTTACAATTTTCAGTTTTGGTTTCAGGTACTTCCACTAGCAAGGGGAAGAGCTCGGGATGACTGCATGACACACACCACAGTTTTCAGCCTGGGATGTCTAGACTCTGATGTTTTGACACGTGATTTTGATACAATATTTTGATATGATGTTTTTTTTAGAGATACATGACTTGTGATTTTATTATGATATTGATGAATTGTGATTTTCTTAATTGATCTAAAACGAAATTTTTGGAACGTATTTTTGGGATGTTTCATGTTCGTCTACTACTAGCTCATGGTCTGCAAATGGGTGTTCCATAAGAATCGCCTTTGCGTAGATTTATGTTCTCAAATCTTAGAACTTGCCAAAATCTGTACCCCTTCTTCTTCATGGTTTTCTCTTACACCATCATTACCCAATTTGGCCATTTGCATAACCGCCAATTAAACCTCATCCGCACCGTGGAGACAATTTTCTTTAGAAAATAAAAAATGACAGTAAAACTTAACAAGATTTTGGTCATCAGGGAACTGGTACATCGGGAAATTCGTGGTCAACTCCATTGATGAATCTAGTAATGTTAAGGTTTGTGGTGATATCAATCATCGATAATATGGAAATACCAAATTATCAATCGAAAACCACACACGTGCACATACGAATCGATTACAATTCATCAGATTTCAGTTTTGATTACATCTTGAAACTCACCAGAGTTCATTCTTTCCTCCATCGCCATTAATTTGGAGATTTTTTGGTATGTTTTTGGTTTGATTTTAGCAAATGATTGACCACCATCCTGGAGAGAGAACACATGGGGTGGGAGAAAGAAACGGGTGTGTGATTACAGATTCATGATTTCATTGTCAAATTGTATAAACAAACAACCGTGTGTGTGTCACAATCCATTGAAAAATAGCATTTCCTTTATAGTGGACAATAAATATGCATTTCCTTTAAAGAGTTTGATTGATGAATTACATGTAACATCGAGTACAGTGAAGTTCTGGGGTATAATGGTGGTGGTAGCGGTGGTGATAGGTGGTGGAGATTGAAGGAGTGAATATAGAAGGATGGTGAAGGGGTGGAAGGTTGTCTCCGGTGGCAATAGAGATGGCGGCGAGCTCTAAGATGTTGAATAACATAGGGCTTCGTTTTTTGCAGATGGGGTCACAAATCGGGTATGGATGTGTGTGTGTGTGAGAGAGAGAGAAACTCTTTTATTTTTAATTATTAAAATAAATAAATAAATATTAATTTTTAAAATTTTTAAATAAAATGAAAAATAAATACACAAAGGGTATATAACAATCATTTCAATTTTCGAAAGGACAAAATACACAACGAAACTAGCTGAAAAGGACCACCAATCCAAAAAAAATTAAGGTTTAGACCAAAGCCCGGAAAAAAAAGCATACCACGGGGACCATTTTTGCAGTTGTCATATATATATATATATATATATATATATATATATATATATATATATATATATATATATATATATATATATATATATCAAGGTTGTAAAAGTCGTTAGGCGGTGGTCGGACCTAGGGTTAAAGGACCAATCGGTCTAGGCAGAGATTAATCGGCACCTAAGTAGAGACCCTTAATTGTAATAGAATTTATTTTTTAAAAAATAAATATTACCTATATCCTAACAAAATAAGTAAATAACCATACAACTTTGGCATATCTAGTCGTCTAAATATTTAAATCATCACATATAATAATTTTAGACTAATTGGGGATCATTTTAATTTAGTCACCCAATATCATAAATTTGACTAATTGGAATTTTTGTTTTTGAAAACTTTGACTGTTTGGCCTTTTTACCTGCTTAGACCGCTTAAGACCGCCTAAAGACCGAATCTGCCTTCTCAACCGACTAGCATTAATCGTAGACAGTAAGAGGTCGCATAGTGCCTAGGCCGATTTTTACAACATTCATATATATATATATATATATATATATATATATAACTCCTACTTATCAAAGACTTAAGTGTAAGTAACCATTGATATAATATGAGTTACAAAACTCCCTGTTGGGTGCTTAGATTTATACTAATCATACTTGTACTTCTTCGGAGGCGAATCCAAATTTTTTAGGGTGGTCCTAATTAAATTAATTATAAAACATATATATATATATATATATATATATATATATATATATATATATGCAAAAAATTGAAAATTTGAGGGTGTGCATGGGCCTACCTTGACTTTGAGGTGGCTCCGCCCATGCTTTTTCATATTGTATCTTCAGATAATACATCAAAGATTCACCCTGTTAAAAACCTTGCCAGAGGAAACCCTTTGGGACAAAAACTTTGATCAAAGGATAAAAGAGTACGGTCTCGATGTCTTGAGCAAATTAAATAACCATACATGAAGTGCTTCATTAAAACTTTTTAAAAGAAAACACAATGGGACAAAAACTATAAACAAAGGAAAAAATAGTACACAATGATTAAATAAGTATTCAATTGGATACTCCCCCTAATTTTATCAATCCTTAGTAAGAATGAGATATAATTTGTGTCTCGTTAGAAATAACTTTGTCGAGGTAAACTTAGTGGGACAAAACCCTTATACTAAATATAAAAAGAGTACACCAACATTCGTCTGGATGCTCCCCCTCTAATGCACTCAACAAAGTGCTAAGCATACATCAGGATGCAATCATTACTTGCACATAATTGGTGCATAATACATTTCATTTAGGTAGCTCAAACAGGTTCCTAACTCCACTGGCTATAACATGTTTTTTTAATGAATACTTTGACAATGACTTGTTGAACAAGTCTGCATGATTTTTTTCTGATCCAATATGTTGCACTTCAATCTTTTGAATTGCTCATTGTTTATGTGTAAAGAACAATTTTGGCGTTATGTGCTTAAAGTTATCCTCTTTGATGTAACCATGTTTCACTCTATCAATAACAACAATGTTATCTTCATATATATAACATCCCGATGATGAGGTATTTTCAATTTTAACCCTATGTATGATTAAATATTGCATTTTGGCCCTTGTACACGAGAAAGGTTGCAAAATGGCCCATAGTGGCATTTGCATAATTTTGGGCCGGAGGTTAGTACCCTGCGCGTACATCGTGTACGTCCTCGTGTTTGGTTTTGTGATTTTGGGCAAACTCTAACAATAGACATGTTTTGAAAACTATTTTGTAAACAATGATGATTTTTTAGTTGTTTAAAAAGTTTAAAATTTTCATGAATTTTACGGATGTTACATTGTGAGTTCCCCAAAATACCACATACCATACATATAAAACATGTAATGGGCCCCGCCCGATATTGAGCCTCGCTCGATAAACATATTTTTCAGTCATCAGGCCCCGCCCGGTATACATATAAACAAACAAACATACAGTCATATAAACACATGCAATAATCACAAAGATAAATAACATACACGATAGTCATCGGGACCCGACCGGTAAATATATAAACACATAACACATGAAAGAGTCACGCAGGCAACTAGCATCATAACATATCAAACCATGGGTCGACATTGGTGCCTTCGACCCGCTAAACACAGTGAGGAAACTCACCTCAAACTGCAAAATCACTCGGATAAAATCTCAGTTTGCTGGTCTGGAAAATCTCCGCGCTAACATCATCAAATAAATATCCAATTAATAATCGGATCATGAACCATAATCAAGAATCTAAGTTACTTGTCCAATATTTAGGGTAAAAGACCATTTTACCCTTTTTATATTACTTGGACCAAAACTAAGGCCCAACCCATTGCTCAAGAGGCCCAAACCCGAGAAAGTCAACCCAAAAGTCAATCTGCTGAGTACACAAGGCGTACTCAGCTCGTACGCTTAGCGTACTACTTCCGGGGCTAGTACGCGCAGCGTACTAGCTGGGTACGCCCAACATACTCCCCAAATTACCAACCCAACCCATTAAGTACTTAATTGGTTAAGCTAACATGCTAAACTCTTAAATCTGGTTCTAAATGGTGACTTAATATGTAACGTTGACAACTTTACACCCATGCATGACTTAATGGGGCCCAACACTAAAAAAGAATCTTAATAAGACTCTTAACACTTGCATTGACCAATATCTTACATAAAGTTTGCATTTTTATGGACAATGGACCTCAAATGAGCAAAGATCTAACATCCATAACTTCTAGAGTAGACCATAACTTCATATATGACTTAAAAGACCCAAAAATGCATAAATAACACCATAAAATGGATCTAGCATAAAGGACCATCAAGATGAGAGCTTTTTACCTCAAAAGGCTTGCTAAGGTGAAGATAACTCTATATCTACAAGCTCAAGCTACTCCCAAGCAACCTCCAAGTGTTCATCTTCTTCTTCTTCACCACAAAACACCAACACCCTCACTTTCATGCTCAAATCTCACCAAATACACTTAGGGTTCGATATTAGGGCATATGGTGATGGACATTGATCAATAAAATGTCCAAAAGGTGTTATAAGTTGTTTAAATAGGGTGCAAACCCTAAAAAATAGGGTTTTCCCATGCACCACGTACGTCATGCGTACTCCTATGTACGCCCTGCGTACGTAGGCGAACCCGCAATCTGGAAATGAGCTAGTACGCTAAGTGTACTCAGAGTACCCCCCGCGTACTAGCTAGGGACTAAAATGAGATGATTTTTGTATTAAGGGGCTAAAGGAAACATACCAAATTATCAAGTGTTACAACCAAGCTTTCTATTATCTTATTCGACAACATCTCTAGTAACCATCATTAGTAAGAACATACTCAAAACAATGGTTTTCTTTCTACATAAACACGAACGGAAAACAAACTCAAAAGCTTAAACCAACATCAACAACTTATTTTCAAGGATATGTTCTTAAAGAAGATGGAGAAATTAAAGTGAAAAACATACTCAAAAAGTTTTAAACCAACCACATCAAGCTTCGTCTAAAACACTATATCAATTAAGTTTGTGAGGAAACAATAAATCATCGATAAGTTAATAGCTTTTAGCAAATCAACATAGTTTTGTAATCAACTCGCTTGATCTTTGGAAATGTGGATATCTTCTTTATGGCCTGTCGAACACCAAAAAAACTCAATATGATTGTAAGTTTGTGACAATTGCCAAATTTTTATGTTGTGATATATACAAATATGAATTGTTTATCATAAGAGTTAACAGTGAGCTCAACAAATTATTGATAGAGACTTCAAGTAAAAAAAATTATTGTGACCGAATATATTGATTTTCCAATGGATATAATTGTGTCATAGAACTGATAAGAAACCTATTTTTTGGATTTGGCCTTAAGAAGAGATAGACTTAAAAACTATGAAAGATCATAAAAATACGGATATAGACGTTGAGTGAGACATTGAAGATGAGTGATTTCACCATAAAAGTTTTGGGCCACCATGGTGGTTGGTGTTTGGTATAAAGATCGAGCCGACGACAGACGATTAATGAAAGGGAGCGTCGTTGTTAAGTGATGGTTAGGTCTGAATAGCGGTGAATGTGATGGCTAAAGGAAGTGGAGCTGGTGACGACAGTGTTAGAGAAAAACGAATTGGGAGTGGAAGTGAACAAAAGGGTCTTCTTGTGATAACCTTTACTTTTATTTTTTATGCTTTTAATTTTGTTATTTACAAAGTTAGTCCATGTAGTGTATAACTTTTTTTGATATGGTCGAAAAGGGAATATGGTCATATTTTAAGAATTAATTGTTGAAATGCTAGTTTTGAATGCATAAGGACCACAAATGCAATTGTTTGAAACCATAAAGATATATTCTATCAAACTTTTAAAAATTGAACCAAACTTGATTCTTTTGGGTTAATAATTCTAAACATACTCCATTTTTGGGGCACAACAAGAATTTTATTTGCAAGTAATGACTAAACCATAAGGACACAATTTCCTATTGAAAAAACATCATAAATGGTCATTGTGCTTTCCAAAAATTTGAGATATAGTCATTAAGTTCAAAAAACTTCCCATATGGTCTCTGTAGTTTCAAAATTTTTAACAAAATGTTTTTATTGCTCACTCTGTTAAGTTTTGTCCACTAAATCCCCTGCTTATGTTTCTTATCGCTACAACAATCTTGAAGTCATCCTTTCAAGAGCAAACATTTGGCATGCCACCTCCTAAACACATATGATGTCCCAATCGTTTTCGCGGACATCAAAATTGAATTTGCACCAAGGTACCAATCAACATAGAAGAAGATGAAGGTAATGATTTTTACTTGCGGCGGTGGGGGTGTCGTACATTCAATAGAGACGATGACGTTTGAAGGGAGAGGGACCTAATTCTACAATTTGGAAACCCAATTCCGTGAAACAGAAGCAAAATTGAAGTGAAAATCTATAATTTCGATCAAAACAAACTCCAATCTCGACTCTAACGTCTAACCTGCATACATTATTGTTTTGGAACTCCGATTTCATGACTCCAGAAATTCAATGAAAATTAGTTTCATCTTTCAACTAAATGAACTTTCGTTTTGATTATAAGCTTCGAAACGTACAACTCAAATCCAAGCAAATCAAGTTCGAACTAAACAAACTCCGATTTAGAATCTACACTCCGATATATGAGAGACAGACCTTTTTTATATTAAATATATATATATATATATATATATATATATATATATATATAAGTAAGTAAAAACTTCATAAATGGTCTCTATGATAGTTTAATGACGGAAATGTCTTTAATTAACAGACAAAACTTAATGAAACGAGCAATAATGATTTTTTGTTAAAAGTTTAATGAGCGAGAGTTTTTTTTTGAATTTACAAAATATATCTCACACTATATGTTTTTTCTTTACTATTTTATTTAATCATATATTATTGGTCATACGCCAATGTTCTAACACAGGCTTACCACGTATGCCCGTTAAAAAGAACCCGTGAAAAGGAGTCTAATCCAAACCCAAACAACCTAGCCAGTAACGAGTGTTCGAATTTAGATTAAAGGCTACAAGTGTAAAACAATGAAAATCATAAGGGGTCTAAGTGAAAAGTTTACTTTCCCATCATCGATCTAGGGTTTCAACAGTAGGTTTGCATATAAAAGCGAACTTGGTCCATTTTGCGCCTTGAAGAACTCTCCCAGTGAAAAAACGCCGCCGTAGCAAAACCCTAGACGGTGAGCTACCTTGATTTTCTTATCAATGAAGTGTGTTTTGATGCGTGATTTCATTCTCAACTTTATCATAATTTAACACAGGATTAAACAGGAGATATGACTACCGTACCAGGGCAGCTGATATGGGAGATCGTGAAGAAGAACAACTCTTTCCTCGTCAAGGAGTTCGGTAATGGATCACAGAGTGTTCAATTCAGCAAAGAGCCTAACAACCTCTACAACCTCAACTCCTACAAGCACTCTGGTAATACTCAAGCGCAATCTCTTACAATATTGATTTCTTAATCGATGGATTAACTTTCATCACTTTTGTATTTGGATCGCGGTTTTATGATTATCATTGAGAATATACAACGAAAAGCTTTGGGCCTTTAGGAATTTCTTTCGTTCGTTTTCATGTCTTCAACTTGGTGATGTTAGTATACAACTATTGCTACTCTTTTCCTCGAAGTAGAACATCTTTTAAAAAGTGGTTTTAAGAAGATAGAGGCATTGTTCTTTTGTCGTAAGCAACCATCGATCTACAGTGATTATACTCTCTTTGCCATTGTGGCAATTGAGATCAATTGATGAACTGTTTCGATACATAGCCAGCAAAATATGCCCTTTTTCTATTAGCTATCCTTGTGTGTGTTGATTATAGTGAAGCTATTCTTTATAATTGAGGGATTTCTTTTTTCACAAGAATCACTAGTTATTGGTTAATGAATACATCTTTGGTTACAAGAAGCTTGATTTATGTTTATGCTGATTAAACACGATTTAGGCTGTGTACAATCAAATATCAAATTACTTTGTTGATAACTTGCAGGACTAGCTAACAAGAAGACTGTTACCATTCAGCCAGCTGGAAAGGATCAATCTGTTCTTCTAGCAACTAGCAAAACCAAGAAACAAGCCAAGCCTGCAGCTCTACTTCACAAATCCATCATGAAGAAAGAGTTCAACCGCATGGCTAAGTCAGTTGTAAACCAGGTATCCTTTTTGGATTTTAAAGCTCCTTAATTCTATTTCAGAGTCCAGTCATACCATCTTTAAGTACTTGTGAATGATGTCATTTATGAAGTGTTTTTGGATCAATTGCAGGTTGCTGCTAACTACTACAGGCCAGATTTGAAGCAGGCTGCTCTTGCTAGACTGAGTGCTGTGAGCAGGAGCCTTAAGGTTTCAAAGTCTGGTGTCAAGAAGAAGAACAGACAGGCATCAAGGATTTATGGTAGGAAATGAAACAATGTATTAGCACTTTTGTGAGCTGAGTTTTTTTTTTTCATAAAATTTTCTGTTTAGACTTCTAAATTTATCTTCATTGCCTTTCAATGTTGGTTGGTTTTGTTATTTTGAGAGTACTAGATTTTGATTTGGTGTCTTGACTTTGACGTTTACCTTTTTATTTACTCTCCCCTCCCGTGCTTACTATAGGTTATGGACTTATGGTTTGTTCAATATTTTGGTATTTTCATTCTTATTTGTCAAAAAGTGATTAAAAGACGTTATGGTTTGTTCAATATTTTGGTATTTTCCGATTCTTATTTGTCAAAAAGTGATTAAAAGACGTTATGGTTTGTTCAATATTTTGGTATTTTCCGATTCTTATTTGTCAAAAAGCGATTAAAAGACGTTATGGTTTGTTCAATATTTTGGTATTTTCCGATTCTTATGTCAAAAAGTGATTAAAATTTAAAAGACAAAAAGTAGTTTTTTTGGTTGGCTTAAGGGCAGTTTTTATTTCTTTGGTAGTCATAGAGTATCGGATTTGGGAAAATTACAGGAAATGGTGGTTCTTTACACTCTTTTACCTGAAATTGAAAATAGGAGTTTAGGAACGTGTAACAAATGAAGTACATTGTTTAAAGTGGTAGTGAAATTTTAGTTTTTTTGGGTAAAATTTAAACTAAAATTTTAGTTTGACATTGATTTTTTTGTTTTAAATTTCATACTATTTCCCAATTTGTTACAGTTATGATTATTTGACTGGTCAAACCGTTTGTTTGTTAACGTGGTATACCGATGTGTTAGTATTGATGATGACGTAATGTGTTGTTATGGTATGCTATGATGTGTTAGTATTGATGACGACGTAATGTGTTGTTATGGTATACTGATGTGTCAGTTTATATATAATATTATAGTTTGGATGTAAAAAACATTGTATTTATATAAAAATATGGCTTTTAAATAAAAATATATTCATAAGGCTTTAAATGTAAAAAATTATACAGTTTCAAATGAAAATGATGTCCGAATTCGAACTAAAAATGGAGTGTTAAACTTGTAAAAAAAGTGTTTTAAGTTAAAAAAAGTGAAAATTAAGTTTTTTTTGTGAATTTTTTTTGACACGTTAGCATGTCATGCTGTCATCAAAACAGATATGTCATCATAACACGTCAACAAACAATCGGTTTTACCTGTCAAGTGATCGAAATTATTATAAATTGGAAAACACATAGTCAAATTTGAGATATAAAAAAAACATAACGTTAAATTATAATTTTAGTATAAACTTAATGATTTTGTGCTAATTTTCCAATTTTGTATAGAAAAATTTGAAGCATGTTGATATTTCTTTCGGTGCAAGAAATATCTCCAAATCTTTGCCGTTGTAGTCATCGACTTTCATTTTCAATATCTCAAAATCGGTTTCGTTTGTAATGGCATTTACGCATCTACCATTTCTTGTTCCACTCGACTCGTCATCGCGGCTTTGCTCTATTGTACTTGGACATATTCATCAAAATTTTCTAAAATGATCGATAACACTAGAACTCGAATTTTTTGAACCCGAACCGAAAGCCACTTTCTTTGCTCTATTTCTTCCTATCGGTCGACGAAGAGGTTCATATGCAACATCCACCGACTCATCATTGATGTCAATGCGTGTCCGATTGTCCGATTGTTGTGAACTTCCACAATGATTTCTCGAACGCTTTAAAATGGAAGAAGTCACTTCTATCATACGTTTCAATTTTGGAGTATCCTTCAACCGTAGCCAAGGTTTGAGATAGGGAAAAGGTTTATGGGTTTTTGTTTTCTCATATTGTTCCATGTCCGCACTAAACACATCAAAATCGTTTGACCCACTTTTGTGTAGGTTGGTAAGATTGTTGAAAATTCCATCGAACTCGGTACAATTCAACCTCAAATTGTGCCACTTCGAACTAATTTGGTCGGGATTTCTGCTTCATTTCCCATTAAATTATATAAAACGGTTCGAATTTCTCAAAAAACAAGTAGACTTTTGAGAATCTCTAATTATAGGGTCTTGGGAAGCAGAAACCCACACTTGTGCTAACTTCTTTTCTTCCTCTTTTGTCACACCCCGACTTGGCGGTGGAAGCACCGGGTAGCACGACGTCAGGATGTTGGATTATATATATATATATATATATATATATATAAACATAAATATCACTTCTATTTAACAACTAATAACTTACGTAAAGGCTTTAAGTTTATTCCATTTGAGTTTTATCTTGGTAACTATAATCTCTGGTAGACTGCTAATCACTTCATAAGCTTTTGCTAAAAGATCTTCTGTCTCCATTGGTGACCTAGGAATACATGTGGATATTTAAAGGTCAACATAATGTTGGCGAGTTCATAGGTTTTGTATACTTTAAAAATACTTTCCCGAACTTGTTAGGTGAGCGCTTGTTGTATTCTCAAATTATGTTAGTGGATCTGTGTATACCAAACTGCTTTCTTAATGTTTCTGGTAGTGGATTCAGACGGTTTAGTAACTATACCCAAATTTGTACCTTTGTTTATGAATAGAAAGATGTATATTGTTACTTTCTTTAGTTCTTGATAAAATTTCTAGAATCCTTTGTTGTTACTAGGGTAATACTATCCTAGTATTCTTTTATTGTGTTGTATATACTACTACTCCCTTCGAGGCGTCCCTTACAGAGTAGTAGATTAAGTTTAACAATGTTAGGATGAGTTCCTATAATCGAGATCTGACTAATATTGTTGTCTACCCAGTATCCCGACGCTTCATTAGACGTTGTCCGTAGTTTATAAAATTATGTATGCTCCGACTGCCATCAGGTTGTAGCTAGCAACCGCAAGTGGAGGTGTCAAATCCGTATAAATCTATACATATCTTTCCCGCTCACTTGAGATTTAACGGCGGTCGACGACATATTTTCTGGGTTGTCACATCTTTTGTCCAAGCCACCCTTTCACTTTGAGTTGTTTTAGCGGGTTTTTCGTTCTTTCTTCTTCTTTTTTGGTTGAGGTTGTTCTAGTTGTGTTTGATGGGTTTTGCATGTAATAATGCGAAACATACCTTAAACTCTTAAGGGTACATGTAACCTAATTTGATCTATGTCATAGCTCTATTGAAGCAATATACTATTAAACAACAAAACTTTTATACCCTAATTGAAATCGAAATTCACAAAAGGAATAACATATCTCTGATTTGTTATTTTAACAATCCCTTTGATCCAACTAGACCAATCGAATAGTCTCTTGAAAACTAGATTCAATTGTGTGCAAGCCTCTAATGGTTCACACCCACAGCACAAGAATCCTAGAAGATTTAGGAGAGAGGGGAGAAGATGTAACGCCCCGTTCCTGGTACGTATTTAATTTATTAAATGTCTTTTATAAAGAGCTACTCGGCGAGTAGTAGCCTTAACTCGTCGAGTAGATGCCAGGTTGGACGCGGGTTTTAAGTGATCTACTCGGCGAGTCCGCGCCTGGACTCGACGAGTAGGCCAGTCTGGAGGAAACCCTAATCCTTAGGGTTTGTACCCTATTTAAACGTCCTTATAGCCCCCATCCCAGCCTCCAACACCCTTAAAGCGTTCCCCCTCAAAACCCTAGCCTCAATTGGTGAGCTTGAGTGATTCCTTCATGATTTTGAGTGTTTTGGTGTATTCTTGGAAGGGTAGAAGTGAAGGAAAGAGAGAAGGTGCAAAGGAGAAGAAGGAGATCCAGAAGCTAGCCTCCATTTGCTACTTCATCTGGTAATAAAGCCTCTACCTTGTTCATTTTCCTAGTAGATCTTCATATATGCTTGTTTTGCCACTTTTGGGACATTTCAAGGTCCAAACTCGAGATTGGAGCTCCCTTAGGGTAGTGAGCTATAGATTTGGACATCATTGAGCTCCAGGAGCTCAAAGTAGCTACCTTTATGCAAAGCAAGGTCTTGTTCCAAACCCTAGGTTCCCATTTCTAGCTTATTTTGGTGTTTTAGCTTCATACCTCTATGCATGCACGTAAAGTTGGCAACTTTACGTGTTATATCGGCCCTAGAAGCTCAGATCTATGAATTGGATGCACTGAAATCGATTAGAATCAACTGTTTAGTGAGGACATGCATAGGACTCGACGAGTTGTTCTTGGACTCGGCGAGTCAGAGCGCAAATCCTCCCGATTTCTCCGATTTTGGAATTGTGAGTCGAATCAGCGAGTGGAAGAGGACTAAGGGAGTTAGAACAAGGATCTGGAAGTAGAGGGACTCGACGAGTCGAGTCACGAGTTAGAGAAGTGTGAGTCCGGGAACTCGGCGAGTTCATAGTAGGACTCGGCGAGTAAAGTCAACCAGGAAGTTGACTTTGACCAGGGGTAAAATATAGGGATGTCAAAACCCCCCGCGGGACCCCGTTCCCGTGGGACCCCGATACCGTACGGGACTAATTTTTAAAAAAAATTGGGAGCGGGAGCGGGGGCGGGGGCGATATTAACTCCCGTTTATTTTCTGAACCGGGGGCTGGAGTGAGTATTTCCGTCCCGTACTCCCGCGGGGGCCCCGTTTATATTTATAATATATATATATATATATATATATATATATATATATATATATATATATATATAACTTTAGTGATGTTTTATGTTTGATGAATTCTTGATTTATCAAGGGCTTACATGTTTGTTTATATACAAAAGTTATTAAAAATAGTATTTTTAGCCTAAAACAAAGCAAGTTTTTAGCAAAAAAATCCATTTTTAAGCCTATAAACTGGGAGTACCGGGGGCGGGACCGGGGGCGATGGAGGTAACCGGGGGCGGGACTGGGGGCTATGTAAGCGAGGGATCCGGGGGCAGGACCGGGAGCGGGGGCAACAAGTGATTTCGGGAGCGCGGGCGTGGGCAACCATTTCCGCTCCCGTTTGGTCCCGTTGACATCCCTAGTAAAATAGTCATTTTACCCTGAGATTAGTTATCAATATTTGATTTAGTGTTTATGGGATTTGTAGCCGGGGAGTTCCGGAGCAGCAGTCAGACAGTCTCAGATTTAGCACCTCAGCAGCCAGCGTTACGAGGTGAGTTTCCTTCCAGTAGGAACAGGTCTACGGCCACAATGCCGACCCGTTTAGTTAGCAGTAGTTCCAGACTTCGGTCTGATGTAGTAGTTCAGTGTGCTTGATGTCTTTGTGATTCAAGTATGTCTTTGTGTTATGTGTTCCGGACTTCGGTCCGATGCAGTATGTAGTATCTATGTTTATGCTAGTAGTTATGATTATGCTATGCTATGTTCA